TAAATACAGCTTTATAATATTTTATTTTGTATTTATTTAAATTCCTTACTAAGCTGCAGGCAACATGTTTATGTTGTTTTTTTTTTATTTGAGATGGAAAGCATAAAATGATAATAAATGCTCAAATTAAATATAATCAGTTATTGTACATTCCACTTTTGGACAATCATCCAATACTTTTGAATGAGAGGGGTACTCATGGTGAGACAAAATACCCAAAGGGGAACACAAATCAAAAAAGGTTGGGAACCACTGTTGTAGATGACCCAAATGCAGAGACGGATGGCTGAGATGGTTTTTTGCATATTTAATGGAGGCAGATGGTACAGACGTAATACATCCAGAAATGACCGGCAATGAACCCAGGAATCACAACTAGGAGACACTTGGCAGAAACAAACAAGAATGAAGAGAAACCGGCAATGGGGAATTGCACAGGAGGTGTATGTATGGGAGCTAGAACAATGAAAGGCTAATTAGCTGATAGGGAGCAGGTGTGGACAAAAGCAACTAGAAAAGGGCTAAGAGGAAAGTAAAGGACCCTAGGGGACAACAAAGAATAACGGGAAAAACAACAGGATCTAACTGTGAATAGAAAAGAACTTAAATAAAGCTAAAGGGAAATAAAACAAATTATTTCAACTAGAAATAGAACAATGAATAAATAATATCCAAAATGCTTAAAAGAGATAACTGAAAAAAATTACAAGGGAAAGTAAACTAATAATAATTCAACAATGATAAAAATCTTGAAAAACACAGGCTTAATAAAAATTAAGCCTGTGTCAGAACCCCAAAAGAAATCGTAAATAGAACCAAAAAGAATCATGACAGCATCCATCTAAAATGATAAAGTACGAATGTCATATACAGCAACATTATGTATTTGGATATATACAGAAAAAATGCACTCCTAAAGGAATTTGTTGGTAATGTAGATAATTTTAATATCAATATTGGAAAAGAGAAAGAAATGTCTCAGTGGGCTGTAGAATATGGTGGCTAAGGGGCCAAACCTGCAAATAAATGAAGTCACAGCAAATATAAAAAGTACTGCAAACACACGCAAATTAAAATGCTGCAAAGGGGAAAAGATGGAATTACAACTAACAGAGAGCAGCAAATGGCACACATGCTGCCGATACAAAACTCATGCAAATGATAAATTATCTGAACACACAAAAGGCACAAAAAGAAAACGTTGCAAAAAAAGCTGCATGTTAAAAAAAGCTAGCACTATATAACAGAAGTGCTGCAGACCACAGGATAGATGATAATCATCACACAGTCCTTCCATTGTGAAAACAGTCCACAGCTTCCTCTTAATATGAATCACTTATCAGGTTTTAATTCAAAGGAACCAGCAGTTTAACATGTCAGGTTTTTAGGTAGTTTGATCCAGACTCAGAAGCCTAGAAGCTAAATGTCTCATCCTGGGTTCTAGAAACACAAAGTGAGCAAATCTCTATTGACTTAAGAGATCCAAAACTATGTAGTGCTTTACTGGCCAATAACAGAATTTCAAAGCTGGTTGTTTCACACACAGTAAACCAGAGGGTTTTACCAGCTGGTTTTCATATTTTTTTTTTTGGTTAAAACTCCAGCAGAATCATTTTGGATGCATTGCCAGAATAAAGTGCAGACCCTTTGGCAGTGATCCAACCTTTAAATCTACACCCAGTTGCTTACACCGGATCTTGACTCTTAGAATTGTGAGACTAGATTAGAACGTTTAAAAAAAAATCCAGTTTGCATCCAGATGGACGTAATTTTGACCCACCGACTTATTGAAAATGTTGGAATACAGAGTCAGTGATATAACAAAACTTTTAGCATAAAGTGTCCCTTAAATAGAATTACAAACCACTCCTATTTTAAAACCAGTACAGTTTCCTGTATTTAATGTTTTTTTCTAATGAAAAGGTTTCCGGTTTGCTTCTCAGCCACTGATCCCTCCCCTTCAGTCAAATGTTGTTATTCTTGGCTCCTATACGTCCACCATCATTCTGTTTCACCTTTGCAAGCTGGTCCCTGTTCAGCATTGGTGAACCTGTCTTTGGAAATTTTATTTACCAGTTAAAAAAAAGCCAAACATTTTAGACATGAACTGGTTATAAAGACCTTCAACTACTGGATTTAGATGGAAAACAACAAAGTTTGTTCTGCCATTCAAATGACTGTTCACCACGTTGGAGAGACTGTCATAGCAAATAACATAGTACACATAGATATATACATATATCATGTATTTTGTCAAAATCACATTATGAACTGATGATTTTATCTCACAGCTCAAAATAATATCTAACAGAAGCACAGTTTGTAAAAGGAGGAAGCCGTCACTGTTTCCTGGTGTTAAATCTGGGCCTTTATTGTTCTAGCAGGGTATGCTTGTTTTAAAACCTCCTGCTGGGTCTGGCCCAGTTGGGTTATAATGCGGTCCTATGTAATCTACTCTAGTTTAATGCCACAGGGAAAACCAGAGCAGTTTCTAGACATTTCTTCTGAGTTTATCTGCTTCCAACATCCTCTGATATGAACCTTAACCTCAGAGCTGATGTTCTAATTGGATGATCCTCAGTACACCTCTCTGACTGAAGATGATGCTGCTTCATTTGTCCCGCTACATGTTTCTATGACGCTGCTGCATTAAATGATGTCAGCTGTAAGGAAAAGGGACCCAGCCTCAGAGCTCAGGGGCAGACCTCGTAGTCGCCTCCCTCAGGGCCTCCGTCTATTTGATAGATGTTCTCTATCGCAGAGCCTCGATGGTGCAGCTGCAGGGTGGAAGAGGTGGAGGTAAACTGGTCTGGCTGCCGCCGCTGTTGTAGAGTCCTGAAACAGAACCAAAACCAATCAGGTTTGGCTGTTCCTGTACAGATTAATTCCACACACTGATTTACACTGTGTTAGATCAACCCCCAATTGATCCCAGGTTAGAGGTTAGAGCGGTTAGAGTTAGTGGGTAGAGCAGTGCGCTTATGCTCTGAGAAGGTTGCAAGTACTTGGTTCAATCCCCACAGCCTGCACTCTGGGTCCCTGAGCAAGACCCTTAACCCCCGATTGCTCCCCAGGCACCACACGGTGGGAGCCCACTGCTCCGCAATGTGATCGGTTAAGATGTCGAAGTGAATTTCTCCATTGTAAGATTAATGATGTTCAACTATAGGGAATAAAAACCAAAAACACAGTGTTCGTGGAAATTTAATTAAAAAAGTACAGAGGAACAGAAAGCCAGTCATACCAACACGACTTCCTTTGCACCACAGCAGAACCACAGGCTGATCGCCTCTATGCCACCTCATGTTGAAACAGGAATTCATGCAAATGGACATTTCATTACATACAGAACAAGGAGATGCTGCACCAACTTATTTTTATGGTCCACTTTGTGGGCCTTCATGACTTGTGAGCCATACAGTTGAAAATGGAAAGGAAACACTTTAATAAAAAGATAAATATTATAAAGATTGATCTGCTATCAGCTTCTCGGTGGTGCAGTGGGTAGCGCTGCTTCCTTGCAGCAAGAAGTTTCTGTGTTAATTTATCAGCCTGGGGTCTTTCTGCATGGCGTTTGCATGTTCTCCCTGTGCATGTGCAGGTTCTCTCCGGGTACTCTAGCTTCATCCCACGGTCTAAAAACATGACTGTTAGGTTAATTGGTTTCTCTAAATTCTCCTCAGGTGTGAGTGTGTGCATGAATGGTTGTCCTGTGTGTCTGTGTTGCCCTGTGATGGACTTGTGATGTGTTGATTGATATGATATTAGCTACACAAGCAACTGGCTGTTAATTATTATGATAAAACAGTATCTCTCTGTTTTTTTACAAAACACATTTTTGTATTTTTAGCTCAAAAACCTTTACTATTTATGAAACCATGAGCTCATTGTTAATTTCTCTTTTCCCTTCATCATGACAACCTTTAAATAAATGTGAAACCAGCAAAAAGGATCTGGGGCAGTTAGTGGCTGATTTCAGTAAAGCTGCAGTGAAACATTAAAGGTCATTTGCTTGCAGAGACAGCAATGCTGCAGCTTGCTGAGACCGTGTGGTTACCTAGTCATCTCCACGGTGGTCTCGTGACACCTCGGGTCTTACCAAACACTTAAACAGTGACATTTGAAAGATGTTTGCATCAGCTAAATGTTGAGGTATTGGCACCAGTTAGTGAGAAAACCTCTAAAGTTTCCATTTCTGGTAAAAAGGAAATCTCTAATTCTAAAGAGCTTAGGAACTGAAGGTTGTGATTCAGAGAGAAAAGAGGATGGCGAGGAGTTTTACTTCATTTTATGTAATTCAAATACCTAGTAAAACTGTATTTTTATCTCTGATACAATGAGTAAGGATTTCAAAACCTTTGCAGAAATTGTCAGCAATTGACTTCAAACCAAACAAAACCTAATGTGTCCCTTTTCTAACAGCAATCCTTTTGGATGTATAATAAATAATGATGGACATTTGTGTTGTAAGTCCTAAACTCACCATATAAACCTCTACAGCTGACCAAAAGACAAATACTTTAAATTAAAACTGCAAATAAACAAATATTTGGGTTGAAAACAGCCAAAGTCCAGAGGAGACCCCTGACAGGACATATGGATCAGATGAGATTAAAAGATTGGATTTGAGTTTAGATTAAAGGAAGTTCTGAACATTTATACAATTTTGGCTCAGAGTGGTACGTCCTGTAAATTGTCTGAATAAAACATGATTAAATCTAAACAAAGCCGCTCAAAGGTGTAAGGAAAATAAGTCTCTCTATAGCAGCTTGACAGGCTTCTATCAGAAACAATTTGGTGTTTAATGTTTTGTCTGTTTGATGAGGGGTCCGTGGCCCCTGTTTTCTTTACAGGAACAACTGAGCATCATCAGCTGAGCATTACTCCTTACTATGTGCCTCTGAAACCTAGTGTGAGGTTTGTGGTTTTTAAACGTATTCTGTAGTCTCCAAGTTTCAGTCTGAACACACCAGGTTCCACTGATGTGTGGGAGACCATGACTCTTAAAGATTCATCATCAGTTTCCCGGAGGAAAAAGCTGTAATTAAGTCAAGTCATGAATCAGCAGCAGTTTAACAAACCAACAAGGTAACAAACTGCATGGAGGATTTATTGTAACAGATGAAGAAACATTAAGACACTCACAGTTTCAGCTGCCCCCATCTTCTGGCTGCAAAGACACAATGACATCAACATATATTAAAGAAATAAAACAGTTTTATTCATGATCAACAGTTGAAAAAGAAAGAACATCCTCTCTCAGATCAAGAACGTTAACTTCAATAATCATTAGGTTCTAATATGCATAATATTAAAGTATAAAAACACCAGTGGTAGACTCTGTTCTGCAAATCAGATGGCTGCTAGAACCAAAGCCAATTTTTCTTCTATTAGATTAGCTTTTACGCTAAACTCTGAATCTGCTAACAGACCAGTGGGCTTCCATTATATTACAATTGACATACTGTAGCAGCAACCAGCTGAAGGAGCCAGTAAGCAAACCAAATATCATACAGAACTAAGTTTATCATAATTTAAATGAGTTACCTAATGTCATAAAAGTTACTATTACATCTGTCTGACATAAATTGTTATGAAAAAATATTTGACCAACCCATTTGTCTTAACATTTTGTTTATTTTAATGAACAACCAAATGCTCATATCAACAGCTACGCCATTGTACTGTCAAAAACTATCCATATAGACATCCCATATTTATTTATTTTTTGTTCACTTTAGTCACAAGATACAAAGGGGTAGGTTTTTGATTTAATTACCAATGTTTTTTTGATGTTAAAATTGCTTCAATAACTTTCCTGTGACTGTATGTCTTTAGTTTGGTTAATTTAACGTAGTTTATTAAGCTAACACTTAGGTTAGCTGTGCCCACAACTAGAACGCTACATTAGCTTTTAGCAAAACTATGATCTGAAAGGCTGTATTAATACCTTTAACTGTACAAGGTCTCAGAAGTTGCCTCCATCTTCAGCTGCTAAACAGATGGTTTAACATGAGACTCTAAAATATGTTGGTAAACAGTGTTGGTCATGGTCACCTTAGTGACTGCAAATGGCCCAGGACCTGTGGAGACAGAACTAGCCCAAATCATCACATCTCCAACACTGTACCTTATAGCTTAGCAGCTATGTGATATTTAGGCTTGTCTTCTGTCCATTACGGTCAAATATCTCTGCTACAGCCTGATCTTTCCAGAGGACATTGTACCTGGGGTCTGTTTCAAAAAGGTTTACTGAAAACTCTATTGAGTTTTTTAAACCTGAAATAAGGGAAACTATGACCTTTCCATTTCACAAAGAGAGTTTACTCAACCTCAGTTTCTGTTACCATAGTAACATTCTCCCTAGAGCTAACCTGGTCGGGAGCAGGTTTTCTTCAGTAAATTTAGAGTGTCCTCTGTCTCTGCTCTCCTTACAGCCATCAAGTTTTTTTTTTTTTTCCTGATTAAGTCCGATTTTAGTTGAAAAAAAAATATTTACTGTCTTTTAGACACTGTCTGTTAGACAAATTGGGTTTTAAAAAAGTGATGTAACATGTCCTTTTGAGGAGGATCTTATTCAAGACAATAGGCATTAATTAGATAATTAAATACACTTAATAATTAATATGAGCAACATGTAGATCATTTTTTACAGTATATGAAGACCTAATAAAAAAATTCAGATTACACATAAACAAATTAATAAAAAAATATATCTTAGCGTTAGGGTAAGGATCCATTCAGTGATAACAACTTACTGAGCCATGTAGAAGTCTATAATCATAGTTACTCTAAAACAAACATCCAGAGAATCAAGTTGTCTGATTTATAAATGATTATTTTGCATGTTATTGCATTAAACAAGTAAAACACACACAAAAAAACTTAAAAACACCAACCTATTGAGTGCAATTACAGATAAATATTTTTCTAGCTCTTGACAAGGTTTGCAAACAGTGAAGCAGGGATTTTGAATAACTTCTCTTTAAAGATCCATAGATCCTTCTTGTTTTGGGGCTGTAGCTGGGTAAAATGGACTTTATGCTGCGTTCAAAGGTTTTAGATTTAGATCAGGTCTGGAGACTAACTAGGCCACTCTAGGGCCTTGAGATGATTCTTGCAGTCACTTCCTTAGTTGCCCTTACAGAGGGAAGAAGGTTATTGGCCAAGGTCTCCAGATACATGGTCCCATCCTTTAAGGCCGTTGGCTTTGTACTGCTGTGTTGTTCTGGGCTGATCCTCACCTTCCTCACTATTTCCCATAAAGGTCAGATCGTGCATGGAGCCCCAGACCAAAAGAGGTTGACCAGTATCTTGAACTTTACAATCCTAAATTAGCCCATCCTAGCTTTCTGCATATTAACTGTTTTATCCGTGACACTGAAACAGCTCTCTGGCCTTTGCCATTGTGGAGACATTTTAGTTTCTTTTCATTTAGTGTATGGAAAGGTGTATTTTCTAGTGATAACAAATTGATGCATCTATTACAGGTAATGAGTGGAGAACAGGAGGGCTTCTTAAAAAAACAAAATTAACAAGCCTGTTAGGAGCACCATTCTTACTGGTTGGTAGGTGATCAAAAACTTATTGCATGAAATAAATTAAAAATTTACCACTTAAAAATTATCCTATATGATTTTCCAGATCTTTGTTTTAGATTCTGTCACAGCTGTAGATTACCCATGATATAAAAATGTGAGTGGGAAAATCTGCAAAGCCAGCAGTGGGTTTGATATTTATTCAAAGCTTGTTCTTGAATTAAATTTTTAGTGTTACCAAATCAGTCAGAAACAACTCACCCATAATGAAGAGTCCGATTATAGTGACAAGAACCACCAAGAAGAACAGAACGCACACCAGAACCACCGTCAGCATGTTGCCCTTCTGCTGAAGCTACAAACAGAAACATGAAGCGTCTGTCAGCTGAGGTGATAATCATTCAGGAAATTATCTGCTCAGTCATGGTTCAGAGAGATACTTTAGATTGTTTTACAGCAGTTGTTCATCTGAGACACAAATCATCTAGACAAATACACCTGGTGCATTTATAGAACAGAAACCAGAACAAAACTGAAAGAAGAAAATGGTTCTTTTAATGTAGGGTAATGCATCCAAGCATATCAGTAGAGGTGTAGTGGTAACCAAGCAAACAAATGCTTTAATTGAGACCATATGTTTTATAGATACTGTTTGAAACAACCTGACTCTACTTACTGGATTTAGAAAACAAAATGTTTCCAGTAGCAGGAAAGAATGAAGTGAACAATAGACTGAAAAATAAACTAGCTTTGAGGTTTAGACCTCACTGTATTTTGATCAGTTGCACTGTAAACTAAGTAAAATGTATAGAATTTTACATTTACCTAGAAGAAAAGGTTTTCTGACAGAACAACGTCCTGAACCACCTCACCGGTTGAAAGTAACCAAACCAGCTCTTTGACTGGGTTTAAAAAAAAATACCCTAGTATATATATATATACTGATACACAGTGCTCCATTTGGTCAAACATGACCTGGTTTCTTAAAGGCATAACTGGAAAATGATTATAGGTCACACTAGTGCTACCAGCCTTAAGGGCTTGGTAGTGTTAGAAACCTCAGTTCAGATTTTATTTCAATTCTTTGTGTAATAATTTGAAATACTTTCATAATTTACTCCAATTTTGAACAATGAGACATCTGAAAATAAAGCATGAGAACAGCAATATGCTTACTGAATATGGATAGAAAAAGCATTTCAGTAGGGCTGGACTAGGGGAGAAAAGTGTCCTGGGAATTCCTGACATGAACCGAGACACATTTAAGATGAGAGATGAACTTTAGATTTATCTCTTAAGTTATGTATCTGTTGTTCCCTAAATGTTTATTTGATTTTTTTTTTTTAAGTTCCATATCCTACAATATTTTTGTCACCTTGTATAATTTTATGGACATGATGTTGTAACGCCCAACAAGGCAAGACTCCTGACTAGTTCGTAGCAAAGGCAGAAGTAAGTTTGATTATAGAGCCTGTATGTGTAAATAAGCAAGCAAAGTATCTCTTAATAAGTCAAATGAATCCTAGTTTGCATGGGGCTACGATAGACTAGCGACCTGTCCAGGATGTACCCCGCCTCTTGCCCATTGACAGATGGAGATAGGCACCAGCACCCCTTGTGACCCGAGCCGGGAAAAGCGGGACAGAAAATGGATGGATGGATGGATGGATGGATGGATGGATGGATGGATGGATGGATGGATGGATGGATGGATGGATGGATGGATGGATGGATGGATGGATGGATGGATGGATGGATGGGTTCAGGGCATATCAGACAAAGTGGGTGAAAAAGGGTTCACATACAAAAGAAGTTCAAATCGAACAATAGAGCACCCCTTTGATCAAACAGTAGAAGATCTGACAAGACTTAGAGCTGTTAAATCAAGAAGTCTAGATGATTTAGGTGTTAAAGAGAGTGTAGCTGGTTTAACTAAAGCTTTGAATCAATTTGACTGTATGATCTGGTGAACTGTAAAGTGCCTTGAGATGACATGTGTTGTGAATTGGCGCTATAGAAATAAACTGAATTGAATTGAATTAAGATAAAAAAAAAAAATGATCTAAATGCAGCTGTTTGTTACTGCCACATCAGGGAACCCATACACTGGGATATACGATGTTTAGTTTTAAGCCTTCAAAACAACTTTTAATTGAATTTACTTCCATTTCTATGCAATGAGTGAATGAGTTACAATTTAAACTAGGTGACACATTTTAAACACCAACATTAATATGTAGACTTGTAGACTTGGAGTTTAAACAAACATTTCTATGTCGATCACTTTGTGTCTATAAACAATAATTTAAAAAAAACAAAATGAAGCAGGTAAAACTGTGTTGTAAAGAGATTTGATTGCACCTAAGAAAAAAAAAATGCTATTTGAACAAGTGCAACCAGAGCAAAGCATCATTTCAGAGCCATTAAACAGGTTTGAGAAATTAAAAACAAACCCAGGTTTCAGTGACAGTCACTACATGTTGAATAGCAGTGGTGGGCAAAGATCAGTTAATTAGCTAAAAGGGGAACTAATGTTTTGTTTGTTGTTTTCATGAATTTGGAAAACCAGGGGTTTGTTTAACAAAGCAGGTTCAACAAACTCAGTTTTAAATTCGAAAATCTACATTGATCTAGCTTAAGGTTGGAAACTCTGAGTTTTGAATAAGGCTGCTGTGAGTTAGTTCAGTCAACTCTAAGTAGGTCCTCGCAGAGTTGAGCACGTGCAACAAGTATGAAAATTATCAGTGTAGCCGCGATTCGATGAGTCACCATGACAAAAAGCAACAAGAAGTGACTAGAGATTTTAATGCCGAAATAAAATAACAACTTGGACAAACTGTTAAAAAGACAGAGCTACAGCGCTACAGCAGCAAAGGAGAGGGAGATGACGAAGGAGAAGATTGACGCTCGAGATAATGCATAGGTTTAGATGAGTGCCCAAAGACAGGCCTTTTTCAATAACATATTTTCTAAATAATATTTTCCCAGCAGAAACTGGATTTCAGAAAGTAAAGAAAAACGAAATTGTACTAGTAAGAATTAAGTTTTATATATCTAGAAATGTCGATTAAGCATTTTAAGTGGCTGTTTTGACTTTTTATTTGATCAACTTGAACGTGTAATGCCTGAATGAGAAAGAGAAATGTTAGATAGATCCTAATGTTGTGTGCGTTTAAGAAATTTATGAGCTTTATGAGTTTATGAGTGCTGGTGTTTTTTGGTTGCCTGGTTAAACAATGTGAGGAGCCCCTCTGTGCAATCTTGGAAGTCAACCTTACCACATGTTTGAGTTTCTTCAGGTTTTACAAGATAAAATGCAAGAAAACTAAATAACATTTTAAAAGCATGAAAGTAAAAAATAGATGTGAAAGCATGGTAGAAACCGTTTCTGGTTTATATAAACAATACCAATCAAATTAGAAATAGAGGTTAACTGAAAATTAACGATGCATACATATTAAGAAGAGATTAATTTCATCATTTAAAAAAACATAGAAAACAGACAAATTTTCAAAATTGCAGAATATAGAGAGTAAAGCACACATTGTTCAACATAGACAATGAGGCAAAGGGATCTATAGGGTAGAAAGCAGGTTCCAGATGGGAACTAGTCTATATTGCCAAGAAAGGCATGATGCGCTGCAAAAACAAACAGTGGTGCATCATAAATGAAATCTATTAGGTGCTACTTTAGCTCCACAAAGAGCCAAAAAATGACCTGTGATGTTTGTGGGAGAAAAGTGAGAAGTTGTTGCAACAAGACAACATCTTCAAATACTCCAGGTTCAACCACAACACAGAATGTGCAGACCTGATGATGAGGACAGATGAGAAGAGCACAGGCGCTGCTGCTGCTAGAAGGCAGTGCAGTTAAAGGCTAGAATATGTGGAACTTTACATTAGTGTTGTACCAATACAGATACCAGTATTGGGCAGGGCCCCTGATCCAGCACTAAAATGGTGGTATCGGTATCGGCAAGAACCAACAAAACCGATACCATATTGAGAGCCAAAAGGTTATTCAACTTTTGTCACCCATTTTAGGTAGGCGATAAAAAGTTCTACTGGAATACTATTTTACATTAGTCTTTTTCCAGCTTCATAAAGGTAGGCAGCAGCTTGACAAGGGGTTATTACACAAGCTAATGAATAAATACATGCTTCCAACAAATATCTACTTAATTGATCTTTTAACACAGGCAAGAAACTGTTCTGTTTAAGCAAGATTTTTTGACAAGTTAATCATTTTAAGTTGATAATAATGATCATACAGAGCAATTCTAATAAAAAAAGCTTTGGTAAAATGTAAAAAGAAATAAAACAAAATAAGTCCAATTAGTTATAAGTTTAATTCATATTTAAAATATGGGTGTTAACAATTTACTGCAATAGTGATGGATTTATTTATTTCACTGATTATTTCAAAGTTTTTTTAATTAGAGCCACTTAATATTATACAGCATTGGTTTTGCAGCATAGGATTCACTTTTTTCTGTTTCAAATGTCTTTCTGCTCCTGCAGATTATTTCATTCCTACTGAGCATCTACTATAGACTGTTAATCAGCCATTTATTAAGGTAGGGAAACACCTAACAGAGGGTCCTGAGGAGCAAGTCTGAAAACCCCTGTTATAGAACACACGTACAATAGGTTTGTACATTTATTAAATATATCAGGGGTAATTTAAAAAAAGTACTGTATCACAATTGGCAATATCAGACTTTATTTTATTCAGTATATAAAATAAATTGGTAGCATTGAACATATTTTCGGGATATGATTAAAGGGATGTGATCTGTTAATTATCACACAAAATAATTATGATAAGGAAGTTAGAAACAGGCTGGAAACAGTTATTGCAACAGTTGTCTTAGCAGTTAGCTTTAGCCTTCATAAGCTTATTTTTGAGAGTTCAGCAGTTGAGAGAAGCTAATGTTTTAGATAGTGTAATATAGATAAGTGAAGCTAACTTTGTGGTTGGGTGTGCCCACCACTACTAAACTAGTGTGGAGGGCAACACATTAGATCATTAGATGACAGTCATATTTTTCTGACCTCCATTTTTAGACTCTTATTTATAAGTTTCATATCACAAAGTTGAAGGTTACATAAAACTAAACAATGAAAATCGAATGAATCTGCAGGTTATGATGGTTGTTATTCATGCTTTTCTAACCTCAGCTGTGTTGCTGCTGTTGGTGTAGGGAGTCAGGAGGTTGTCTGTGGTCATGAGATCTGATAGATGAGGAAATGAAAATGGATTATTTTAGAACAGCTGCATCAGCAGCATGATGACAGAGAGGAGCTAAGGAGCTGCACATGCAGAAACAAACAGGTTACAAAACTGGACAGACATTATTCAGTGTTTCCTTCTCAGCATCAACTTCCTTTTTTACTCTTTCATTAGACCTAATCAGCGAACATTCAGAGTTTATTAGATGGTTGTTGGCTCTTTCTGCTATTACTGTAAGCTGTGAATGAACTGTGGGTTTCCCTACCTGTTGTCTGAGAAGCATCTGTCCTCTGTGTTTGCGTCAGTGTGCCTGATGGCGCTGACGTTGACAGGTCTGGAGCTGGAGATCAAAACAGATAATTATAATAAACATTATGAGAGAATTAGCCAGTTCAGACTAATTTAAAATGAAATGAAAATGTAAATGTTTTAAGAGCTTCAGAAAATCCAGAAAACTACTGAAAAGGACCTTTTTTAAAGGTTGTAGGAGGAGATCTGAATAACTGAAAGTCTAAAAGGACAAAAGAAAGAAATGGAGTTCTGGTCTGGACCAGATCTTCAAAACATAAAAGTGGAAAAAATGATGTCTAAAACACTTTCTTCTGGTTCTGGCTACAAAAATATTGATGGTTTTAATTAGCAGTAAACTCTAATGGTGACTCAGATTTCAGTGTTTTTAACTCGAAGCTTCAGTTATGCTGCTTTTAGAGAACTAAATAGGTCTGCCCTTTTCTAACGCTGTCAAGTTCCATTGGCCTGATGTGTTTAGTGCATTTTCTGTGCAAACATCTCTTAAAAAGTTGGAGAAAAAAGATGGCATAAAGAAAAAGTCAGAAGTTAGAAAAAACTCTGTACCTGAGCAGGTAAAGAGTTGACACATGGTCAGTAAGAACCACCCAAGAGTAGAAATTACCAAGCAATCTACGCGAGTCAATAAAAAACTACTAATGGCATAAAATGATCTAAATGGGATTTAACACTCTTAATTCACCTATACCATGTCACAGTCTTCTAGTTCCTGCAGCAAAGCCCCATTAAAACTATTTATTATAATCATTAGATGAGAAAAGATTTGAACACTTTAACATGTTGGAAAAAAAAATCTCAGAATTAGCACAAAGGCCCCTACAGATTGATACATCACACAAAGTTTAAAGCTCAAGAGCTCTTTGGGATGCTCCAGCTTTTAAACCAAATGTAATCACTTTATTGAGTGCTTCCTTAGTTGATCAGTGGAGGAAAAACTATGTAACAAAAATGGTCATATTTTTTATCAATAGATTTTTCTTATTTACTTGTACATATTGTAACAACAGCTTTCGGTTTACTCAGGGGAACAATGTGTGACAACTCTCCAGCACCCCACAGTTTCCATTTATTGAAGAAGCTACAAGAACTCATGTCAGCAAACACTTCACCATGAGCTGATGCTGGTGATCTTACAAGGCAAAAGTTGAAAATTATGAAATATTTAACAATGAAGGAGCAAAATGACCAGGGATAGCAAGAAGCAGAGTTAGGAAAGCAAAATCTAGTCAATGAATTTGTTTGGGAAAACTGAATCTAAAGACAAATACAAAACCTTAGTTCTCTTAACCTCTGGACTGGGAGCTAAAGCGTGTTAATCTTCAAGGGTTAGCATTCAAGGCTCATTGTTCATTCACAACTACAATGATGGAAAAAAAAAACACTGATCCGCACAATATTTCCAGCCTATAAACAGATTTAAATCATTTTGCATTACAAAGTATAACCGGCTGAATGTAACTTAAATCAAAAAGAACTACTGAAACAGTCAATGTTGAAAATTTCAACTACTGTTGATGTGATGTGGCCATCTCATAGCAAATACCAAGATAGATTTGGTCATGTTTGATCTGGTGATTCTGACTTCTGAGTACGGACGTAACGATAGCATAGATGAGAAACACTTTATGAGAAAAATTTGCTTATGGGATTTTTTTTATAAGCAACAAGATCTCTGTTCAACCACTGAAATTTTAAATTAAAGCATAGATAACATTTCCCTAATCATCCATCCAGTGTTTAAACACACTAATTCTTGCTGGGTCTTAACAGCAAGGATTAGTCCAGTTCTGTCCAATCCAGGGTATCAGAAAAGCACACAGGGCTAACATGTAAAAATTTACTCCCAAACAAAATCTAGAAAGGCTGATTAGCATTTCTAATGTCTGACTAGAAGCTATAGTACCTGGAGAGAAACCATGCAGGCACAAGAGAACAAACTAACTCAAAAAAGGGTAAAAAAAAAAAAAAAAAAATACCCCAAAAAAAACAAAACAAAAAAAAACATGTGAAATCAAGAACCATCTTGTTGTAAAGCAACATATCAGGCAACTGCACCATCGTAACATGAATGGGATTTTTTGCTGCACGAACAGAGTTTTTTTACATTTTAATTAATGCTATGCTAAGTTGAAAAAATGAAGTTTTGCTCATATTAGAGTTATGAATTATAGCTATTACTATAATTCCCTCATTCAAAGATGAGCAAATTATTGGCATTAAGGTTCTACACTAATCAGAAGGCTTTTAACTAAATGTTTTAAACGTATACTGTAAGTTCTTAATTGACAGTTTTGAAAATAATCTAGATGAAAACTCACATTTCTCCATATTAAATAACTAAGAAAAACTTGGAAGAAAAACTGGAAAATAACATTAGACTAATTCAAGTAAAAAGTGTTTCTCCAATAAAACAGATTTTCAGAGCAAAAAGGGACATTGATTTACTAATACTGGCTTTGGAAGATAAAGAATTTCTCTAAATATCTGTATTTTCTCACCTTTTTCAACTTTCAACTCAAACTGATGTTTCAGATCATTGAACCACCCAGGTATCTCCACTCTGCATCCATAAAGTCCAGCATCTTCCTCAGTGAGGTTCAGGATCGTCAGAGAAACGTCTCCTTCATCCAGTCGTCCCAGTAGCTGATACCTGCTGGAAACTCTGGTTTTCTTTATAACTTTATATCCATCTGTAGAGATCAGCTTATTGTTGCAGCCTCCCGTTGCTGGTATCTCTCCTTTATTCCAGCAAGCATGCGACGCTCCTTCCTTTTTGATATCATATGTACAGTTCAGAGTCACATTCTGACCTGTTTGACCAACAACTCTGATTCTTTCACATCCTGACACTGAAAAACAATAAATAGAGTTTAGTTTCACAGATGTCAGTTCTAGAATCTAAAATCTGAATATGAAATATGTCATGTATCAGTTATCTGCCACTCTATAAAACAATCTTTGGCACATTTATACAATACCATGTTATATACATGTTATAAAAGACGTTTAATCATAGTTACACTGTTTGATGTAATTTACAGCCACTGCATGGTGATGATTGACCCCAGCATTTTATGAAGTCTCAAACAAAAGTTAAATACATCAAACTGAAGCATCTCACAGATTGGTAGAGCTTCTCAACTCAGCTCAGATATTTATGTCCTGCTTCAGCTGCTTTAGTTCTCTTAAAAGGATTCATGATTCAGATCTTTCAGACAGATAGCATTACTTTATTAGAAACTACATATAAGTAAAATGAGGGAACCACAAACATAAAAAAATCTGTAGAAACAATTAGAGCTTTAATATTCCTCTAAATGGCAGCACAGTCTATAAAGATTATGTTAATGAGCCATTTTTTGTTCATTTTAGCTTAAGAAATAATAACAGAACATAAAAGTACCTGTGAGGAGCACGAGCAGCAGCAGGACCTTCATGATGAACCAGCCATCATCACCCAGCAACATGTTTTTATTCACAGCTGCTGAAACTCTGACCGTCACCACAGCTGCAAACTCACTGCATTAAGAAAGGCGTTCACCAGAGCTACAGCTGAGAGGAAGCACCAAACTGAGGACATAAAGAGGAAGCCTTCAACAGCGTCTCTGTCAGAGAGTGTGTTGCTGTTAAAACCACAGATAATGTTTCTCATTCTTCACATCCTTTAATAAAACCCTGAGGACAGAATCAGGTGGTCTTCTTAGTTTCTGTATTTCTCTACAGTTAGCAGTTTTATTATCAGCTTTAATCTTTCAATGAAATGCTCAAGGTTATCACAAACACAGCTTCTAAAATTTGGTGCAATTTAAAAATATTGAGGAAAATGTATTTAATATAGATCTTTTTTTCTTTATGAGAATCACAAGCAGTTGTTGCTCATTAGATCAGGAAAAGTATTGTTTCAGGACCAGTTTTCCTTGTTCCTTTTTTAGATAAAGTAAATTAATTGATGTATCCTTATTGCATCTGTGAAACAGCATCTTTGGAGCCTTAAAAAGTTAACTACAGAGTATACATGAAAATATCTGATAAAGCAGCTTTTGTTGGGATCCTCAGGCTTGCCCACCAGAGGGCGCCGAGGATCCTCTTCTGTTCTGTGTTTCTTTCCTTTAGGACTGGAGTTACTGCTGGGATCTGGAGATTACCCTCTGTCTCCAGCAGAGTGGGCCGTGGGTCTCCTAGGGCTGGAGTCTTCTTCTTCTTCTTCTTATGGGATTTTATGGCGGTTGGCAGACTTGTGAATTGTGCATTACCGCCACCAACTGATATGGAGTAAAGCAAGAAAACAGGAAACGATTCACCCCCCCAAAAAAAAAAAAAAAAAAAAAAAAAAAAAAAAAAAAAAAAAAAAAAAAAAACCTGTGTAACTTAAACCAACATAATACTAAATCACATTTGCCCATATAATTTTAATTTACTCTAGGTCATCTTAACTCTGCCAGTTTCTGATGGTCCCATCGGTCCTCCCATCATACTTCCAACCATCTTAGGGCTGGAGTCTTCCTGCACACCTGTTGTTAATCCTCTCATCAGGAGACCTCCCCTTTATAAGCTCCTGCCAGGCCTTGCTTCCACGCCGCAGTGTTGATCTTAGTTGGTTAGCTTCCAGAGCCTCTGTTTCAGATTGAATCTTGGTTGTCTCTAGTGTGAGATCAGATTCTAATCTCTCCTTTGTCTGTGCCTCACAGGAAACCTGTCTCTGGTCTGAAGCTCAGGAAGAGCTGCCTCACTGGAAAACCAGTCTCTGGTCTGAAGCTCAAGAGGAGCTGCCTCACTGGAACCCTGTCTCTGGTCTGAAGCTCTGGGAGAGCTGCATCACAGGAAACCAGTCTCAAGCCTGAAGCTCTAGGAGAGCTTAACCTGCTAATCTGCCCTGGTGAGCCAACCTGAAGGTTCCTATGTGAAATCACCCTGAAGAATCATATGTTGATTTTCCCTGTTCTCTGCAATGAGCTGGAAGCTCAGCCTGTGAAATCTTTTGTGGAAATTCCCTGTTTTCTGCAATGAGCTGGAAGCTCAGCCTGTGAAATCCTATGTGGATATTCCCTGTCGTTCTCTGCAGCGAGCTGGAAGCTCAGATCAAGGTCTGCTATGCTAAGCCTGAAGCTAGACGCTTAGCTTCCCATGAACTCTGCTAACCAACAGTCTCCAGTCCCAGTCAAGACTTTAGTGAACCAACCCTGAACCTTTTCCAGATCATATTCTTTATCATGTGCTTGTGAACCATAATAAACTCTGTTGAACTTTTACCCAGTTTCCGTGTGTGTTCTGCATTTTTGGGCTTAACTTAAGAACCCATCATGACGGCTTCATTCAGAAAAGAACGCTGATGTTAACAACACATCAGTCTTCATAAATTGGTGATCTGTTTGGAAGAAGGTTCAGCTGCATAAATAGGTCAGAGTGCCAAAGCCTCTGTTTCTGTGGGTTCATGGGTTGTTGGAATCTGTCAGGATCTTTTCTGATGCTTCCTGTATCTGAGCTTTACATTGTCTTAAATCTTTTTATTAATGTTAAAGCAGAACTCTTTCCTGCAGAAAACACCTGCTGGGTGGACTGGTGTAAAAAGACAAATATGGAGACCACAGATATTTTCTCTGTGGTTATTTCCTGTTCTGCTGCAGTTTTGTCATCAAGCAAATTCTTCAGACAGCAAAAACTGAAAGCAAACATGTGACTCAGAGGGGGGGAGTTGCCCCCCCCCCAAAAAAAAGAAGAAAAAAATGTAAGCACAGTCAAACGCGTGCATCTCTAATATGAAACACAATACGAATTTATCCTCAGGCATCACACGACAACTATCAGCAAGATATACAGTAATGCGGTTCTACTGGTTATTAACACGGACGGGACAATAACTTCAGCAGGGTTGCCAGATGTCACTGACTCACATTTTCCAGCCCAAAACATTTTCATTAACCGCCTGATATATGAAATCTTGCCCAATTTGAATCAAGGTCTATCGATCTCTTAAATCTAAAGAAATTTTTTTTTTACACAATAGACGGCCATCATAAACATTGTTTTACAACAATGCTCCTAAAATGACAAACGTTAGCCTTTTAGATTAGGGGTCTTCAACGTCTTCCAGGCCAAGGACCCCCAAACTGATGGAGAGATGGAGCGGGGACCCCCTAATTATATATATTGTATGAAACTGTGTTTTATCAAACTGGTCATATAGTCACTCTGTTACAGATGGAATAATGTAACTAAAGTAATTTCACTCTGAGATTATTAAAGTATTTCTGATTCCTGGTTGATGGGACAGGTGTTGTGAATTAAACGGTGCCCAGCTTGAAAGAGCTCCTGTGTGTCGCTGAATGTGTGCATTGATGATGAAAGACATCTTCTGCCTCAATTTATCTGTTTACTACAGTGTGTTGAATTCATGTTAATGTGGATTTAGAGATATTTCAATTAGTGGAAAAATTTGCAGGGGGGAATATAAAAAAAAAGTCTAATCAACCAAAACTTTCGTGACCTCATGCAGTACCTCCGTTGACCTCCTATGGGTCACGCACCCCCTGTTGAAGACCTCTGCTTTAGATGCACAACCCCATCATGCACCACAACATAAATTTGCCAAATATAAGTGGAACATCGTAGTTTGGCTTAAAGAAAGCATTTTATTTTTATTATAATTAAGTTTGTTTCAAGGATTTTACAGTTTAAAGAAATAGAAAAGTACACCATATGCCAACATCATCAGGATGTGCAAGACAAGGAAGAGCTACATATACTGTATGCATCATTTAAGTTGTTAACATTGTTTTACTTCTTGAGCTCCTTGAGCTATTCACTGTCACAGGTAGGTGCTTCAGCCGGAGAGTAAGTGTTGGGGCCGGTATGATTTCAAGAGGGCCGGCCCTCGCACGCCGAGATTAGGACCAGACCCACCTTTCTGATGGAGTATAAATACCTCGGTGTCCACCTGGAAAACAGACTGGAGATACAGCAATAGAGTCTTGTACAAAAAGGGACAGAGCAGACTGTACTTCTAGACAAAGCCCAGATTCTTCTGTGTTTGTAGCATTATGCTGCATTTCTTCTATGAGTCTGTTGTGGAGAGTGTAATCTGTTCTGCAATCAACTGATGGTGTAAGACGATCAGAGCAAATTACTGAAAGAAGCTTGACAAGCAAATAAAGGAGGTGGGATTTGTTCTAAGAACTCATTTAGAACCTCTGGAGATAATTTTATCTAATAATTTTATCATGACTTCTTCAGAAAACTAAAGAACATTATGAAACACTCTGAACATCTGTAGATGTTTGTTGAACAACAACAGAGAGTCGTCAGTCAAAGGCTTTTCAACATCTGCTGCAAGACAGACGGCTACAGAAGATCCTTCCTGTCTGCAGCTACCAACATCTACAGCAGCTGGTCGATAAAAACAACATGAGTGTTTAGACTTAGACAGATTTTGCTTTGTCGTTTTGTACGCACCAGTGCACACAAAAAGAAATGTAATTTTAGTACAGCTTTCTAGACTATTTCATTTTTTAAAGTGCAGCCTTGATAAAGGTAGGCAGCAGGACAATGTGATGAAAAAAGAGTGATGTAAACATACGACTGTATAGTTACAGTTGCAACATTCAGGTTTTTTTTTATAGCCCTTTTTTTAATAACAATTCATTTCACTTTAGGGTCAATAAAGTATTTTTGAATCAGTTAAAACTGATTGTGGTAATACATTAATCCAGTGGTTCCCAAAGTGTGGGGCGCGGCCCCTAGGGGGGGGCGCAATGCCATTGCAGGGGGGGCGCGGGAAGCGGTATGGATGAATGAGGAAAAAAAAAAAACAGCGCTTGCTTGACTGAGCATAATGGACAGTTGTGACACTGCAACCCAGATTTGAGAAGATCTACAGCAAAAAGCAGGCTCACTACAGCCACTGAAAAGATGGGAGGATTAAAGTACAAAGAAAAAACTCAGGGAGCTGTTCAATGTTTTCACTCCATTTTGCACAGAGGCTTTTTTAATGTATATATTATAGCAAAGTTAAATATTGTTACAAATAAAAAAAAAAAAAAATGTTTAAAATAACACAGACAACAATGAATCCTCTTCTAATCTACAGCATAGAACTATAAAAAAAATACAGTTACACAAGTGTTCCTACAGATGGTGTAGTTTGTTTTGTTGCAACCTGAAGTGTGAAATAAACTTCAGTGGAGTTTGAAAACAAAATATGTGTATAGATTTATTATATGTGGTTGAACGATGTGTGTGCCCAGTTGATTCTTTTTTTTTTTTTTTGCGGGGGGGGGGGGGGGGGGGGGGGGGGGGGGGGGGGTCGTGGAAATTTTATTGTAATCCAAAGGGGGGCCCAGAAGAAAGTCTTTGGGAACCACTGCATTAATCAATCTCTGTCACATCAGTGCTGTACCCACTATCCAGTCCTATAAACTATTGTGGCATCTCTGGTTTTTCTTTTTAAGTTTATTTCAGCAATCAGACCGCATGCCAGTTTCACATTATTTAGATTAGTGCAATTATCACAGCTTTTATTATTTAACTTGCTCTAAGAGAAACACAATTGTAGCTCGGCTTTAAAACCAAAACCTTTTTTTTTTTTTTTTTTTTACCGTATTTTGTCTGTGTAATTTTAAACAGCATAAAGAAGCTACAGTTAAACATAAAGAGGAATTCTCCTACTGCCATCTATATACTATCATCTCAAAAAATAAACTGCACATATTTCAACAACCCGGCATAGACCTTTTTTAATCATCGGTTTTATTTTTCTATTTTAGACGTTAAAATATGCTATGAAGTGCAAAGATATATTGAGAATCCCACAAAAATGTCAAACTATGAAAAAAAGCTGCAATAAAGAAAATCTAAGATATATTAATTTCATCAATGTATATTAACTATTTTTTGCTGGCTGCAGGGAGAGGGGAGCTGTAAATATAAATAATGCTGAAAATAAATGAAGTAGTTCAGCAGGATCAGGGATTACAGTATAATTATTTTCCTTCTGTGATCTGTGAAGATTTATTTCAACAAAAGGAGCTATAAAAAAGAAATAATGGGGATGTTGACCAGGGAACATGATAGTTTCAATTCCTTCAGACGGGATTGCCTCCACTGGACCTTCTGGAGATGTTGAGTTATAAATCAGCACAGACAGGGATGGGTTAATTCAAAACAATCAGTTTATTTTCAATAGTCACATTGGTCTGACAAATCCAAGTCTGAATGATAAAAGCTCCATCTGCAAAATGTTTTCATCTCAGAGCAACAAGTCATGATGTGTTTTCGTTCACATATAAGAGAAAGAGGCGCCACCTTGTGTTTCTCCCTGACCTAACAGGACCCAAGGTGTTACCTGGAACATCTCAAATAATCTTTTTTTTCTTACTATTTTCAGTAATTTACATTAACAACTTATTACAAAGAACTTAATATTTCAAGCTTTTATTTATTGTCAGATTATTTTAGCTTATAATGAAATCCATAAACTCGATGTCCTAGTAACATAGAGTACTATGAAAAAAATTAGAAACTCATGACACACCATAGGATAATTAACTCTTAAGCTAAAACCTGCAAATGTTCCCTGAGCCCCTAAATGTTTTGGTCATTAAGCAAAACCATCATGGAGAAGACTGCAGCTCGATAGACACCCATAAGACATTCACTGGCATCACTACAACAAGGGGAGGCCATAGAGGGTCATTATGGTAGGAAAAGGTGAACCAGCAACAGAAATAAGTACAACTCTGAGAGGACTGTTAAACAAAACCCACTCATTAGGAGGAAGTAACACCAGGAATGGACTGGCCTGGCCTGAATCAGGTTTCCTGGACCTGGTAACATCGGGGGCTGAGCCCACATCCTAAGGGAATCTCAGGAAATTTAACTGGGAAAATGTTATTTTTAGTGAAGCCTTCTTGGGCCTTCTAGCACCTTGTTTGATACCAAACACTGCAACAAGCACAGTTACGCGTTCCACGCCATCATCACACAGCATCTTATGGGAAAACTGGAATACCAGGGCTTCAAAACCCCCCTTTGCAACTGGCTGCTATTTTTCCTCATTAACAGACCTAAGTCAGTCCAGGTCTGACAGAACACCTCTGATGTCATCCCCCTGAGCACAGGCTCCAGTGTTTCTGAACATTTATCCATCCATCCACTTTCTATCACACTTATCCCTGCTGGGATTGCCAGGGGTGCTGGTGCCTATCTCCAGCTGTCTGTGGGCGAGACTTACAGGCGAGAGGTGGGGTACACCCTGGACAGGTCGCCAGTCTATCAAAGGGCTACACAGAGACAAACAGGACAAACAACCATTCACGCACACACTCACATCTAAGGAGAATTTAGAGAAAACAATTAACCTAACAGCCATTTTTTTTGGACTGTGGGAGGAAACCAGAGTACCTGGGGAGAACCCACGCATGCATAGGGAGAACATACAAACTCTATGCAGAAAGACCCCGGGCCGGGAACAAAACCTGAACCTTCTTGCTGAACCTTTGTCTTGCTAACCTTTGTCCCTGTTGGCTATTTGCCATGAACCCCTTGGTTGTTCGATGATCCCGCTTCAAAAGTTTGGCAATATCTAAACTGCTGCACCTCTCTGAAAGACATCTGACAATTTTTCACTTTTTAGAGTCTGTCAAATCCATTTTCTGACCCATTTTGCCAAAGGAAAATTAGAAGTTACCTAATAGTTAATGATACCTTATATAGGGTGTTGATGTCATTAGGCCACACCCCTTCTCATTACAGAGATGCACACCACCCGATTTACTTAACTGGTAGTTGGCTTTCAAGCCTATAAATTTTGGAGTAGAACAACATGTATGAAAAGGATAATGTGGTCGAAATACTCATTTGCCTAATAATTCTGCACACAGTGTATAGCAGCACGGATAAAACATGGATGAGTGCCCGCTTCCACAGAAACTCCTCTGTCTTTGGTCATGGTGTTGTGACTGTGTTGTATTCACCGGAGAATGGAAATTACAAAACCTCTTATCATTTGATATCAAAGGGCTGAGTGAATTTCCTGAGTGAAAAAAAAGATCCAGAGCTTGATGAGAATCATTCAGGGCTAGAAACAGGAGTGGCCAGGCGATGCCACTCACCTGAACCCTGCAGGAAATCTATGGACTTCTTGACCATCTCAGCAGAACTAACAGCAGATCACCTCCATGTCACACCACGTAATGCAGTAATTTATACAAAAAGGAGCCACACAGGTACTGGGAAACTATCCTGTTCAGGGCGTGGAGATACTGTTAGAAATCAGTATTTTAATATACAGAGATATTTCTGATACTAAGTTTGACTATCCGAACATTGCTTTAAGAAACTATTTTTGTGCTTTTACAACAAACACAATGTGACTAATCTATTTTCCTACCATCATTTCATTTCAAACTTCAAATAAAATTGAAAATAAAAAAAACTCAGAGGGCCTGAGTCACTAAATAGCTAATTTGAGTTAAAACTTCTGTGAAACATAAAAGGCCATTTGATCTTATCTTTTTTGTTTGAATGGACAAAAACACTGCTGTTCATTGAGATGCTGTGGTTGCTTTGTCACCTTCATGGTCTGCAAAAAAATTTAATGAGATTTATAACTAGAATAAGGGAATTTTTAATATTTAATTAAACATATATTTTCACTGTTGAAAATTCCAGATTATAAAGCATTTAAAAACTAAATCAGACATAATTCCAAAGAAAACGCTGGTGTACTTTAACAATTAAGCCATATTTTGATAAACCAATCAGATATTATTTCTTTTCGCAGCCACCTTCTCCGCTAAAAATAATTTTTTAGGTTAATATTGAAATAAATAAAGGAACTTATTACAGTTTAATTGTTTTAGTCTTCTACTTTCAGACATTAATGCTCTCTGAGCAACAGAAAAACCACCATCAGGTCCTGTTGTTCACTGAGGGAGTGACACAATACTGCCCTCTGCAGCCAACTTAGAGAACTGCGTGTGCCTTAAACTGCACCACTGATAAATATTGAGAAAGGCAGCAATGTTTTGGTTTATTTAAATGTTGCCTCAATGCATCAAATTTGTGCATCAACCTGTTTCTCTAATTGACAGTGCCCACTGTGTTGTGCAGCCAAAAGCATAATTAATGCTGATGTAAACCAGGACAATGCTGTGATTTTTTTTATGAATGTTAGAAAAAAGAGGTAACACTGAAGTAGCTCTTCCTCAAATTGCTGAAACAAAGTGACTCTTTCATCACCAGCTTTCCAAAACTGCCTGAAGCACTGAAAGGTTTATTAAGCAGCTCAGGAATCTGCTCTAACTTAAAAAACATAATGTACAACAAAGAAAACACAATGAAATAATTATTCAAACTAGGTTAGTTGCCTAAACACTCCTTACTGTACCTTTCATGTTTAACAGGACCAATGGAGAGAGAGACATGGGGAATACTTCTAGTCTAGCAGCTGGGGTGAGTTCTTATTGGGGAAGTGCAAGAAGCTGCAGTTTCAATAGTCTTCTTCAGGAAGTGGGGAAAATTGTTTCAGTTATCAAATCAGAGACCGACCCATCTCTTATCAGAGAATCTATGATCAGATTTTCACCTGGGGTACAGCCTCATATGCAGGCAGCAGACCAGACATCACTTTGGATCCAATATTTGTTTTGGAAGATGCAGTCTTTCCCTCAGTGGGTTATATGATGCTCACATGCATTTTCTCAAATTTGTGTTTCAGAGCTCCCTCCTTTCTAGAAGCTGTGCACTTGGGAATTCAGAGTTCTTTAACTGTTTATCATCTTTGGCGTTTGATTGAATAAATGCTTTAAAGCAAAAGACCTCAATCTACTGAGGAAGAGCTGAGAAACAGGGAGATGATGAGGGATATTTTTCCTAATGAGATGAGGAAAAAAGATAAATAATATTATTAAACAGGAATGTAAAAACCTATCAGTTATTTAATATTACTAAAATTAATGTTGGATGGAAAAACAATTTCTCTAAGGTACAGCCCTTTTGTGTTTGGGTTTACATGTTTGTGGAAAAAATAGGGTAGGAAGGAATTTTAACCAACATTTATAATGTTAAGGAACAGAAACTGATAAAATCATGAATTACAGTAGAAATGAACCACCATTTTATAAACAAATCAAACTGATTGGAGGATTTGTTTTCAGACAGATTAAGAAACTCTAAGACACTCACACTTTAAGTTGCCTCAATCTTGTTGCTGCAAAGAAATAAAAAACATCAGAAACTAGATTAAAGAAAAAAAAACAAAAACGCTTAATTCATCATCAGGTACGAAAGTACACTGAATGTCAGCTGAATAATCTTACCCCAAATTAAATGGGTCAAATTTATGTATAAAACACAAATATGATCACTAAATCTATAAATATTTATAAGCAAATAAATCCAAATGAGGAGCCAAAAGTCTGTAGAATCACCTTAACCAGAAATAAGATCTCAGTAGCTGTTTTCATCTGATGGCCAAATGGTTTCACATTAGACTCTAGAACATGTTGATAAACAGCAGTGGTCATGGTCGACTCAATGACTGGAAAAGGCCCAGGTCCTGTAAATGGAGAACAAAGCCATATCATCAATCCTCCACCTCCTTACTTCGCAGTTGATGTCTCATCATTGTGTGGATTTGGAGGTTTGGGTTTCTTTAAGCCTGGTTCTGTCTAGCTCAATTATTAACCCTGAAGACTTTTAACAAGTGTCGTATTTGGTGACACAGATTAACTCCAACAAAAATACAAAAAGCAAAGCATTAGAAAGGCTGGATGATGACAAAAAAAAAACATCTCAAAAGACAATTTAATCAGATAATGCAATCATATCGGTTCAAAGTTTCTAAAGGAAACCAGCTGATTTCTTTTATCATCACATCATTCATCAAATTGATCATTTCCAACAGCCTCTGAACAAACATTTTGGCTGCTGCTAAATCATTCAGAGCAAACTCACCATAAATGAAGAATCCGGCTGCAGTGACCAGAGCCACTATGAAGAACAGAACACACGCCTGTGACACCGACAGCATGCTGCCTACGTCCTTAAGCCACATACAGAAACAGAAAGCTTTGATCAACTCAGTTGATGGTCATCCAGGTCAATCATTTCAAATTCCTTTGAAGGAGGCTTTAATGCTTCTAACCAAGTTGCTAATTTTGTATTTTAAAAAATACATCTGTTGTTACAGGTCTTTAAACACAGAATATGCACTTCAAGGGTCTAGCAAAATATGCTTCCAAACAAATGTTGCTCTTCCTCTCATGGCTGGTGTTGTCAGAAAATTTATATTTCTCTTATTTCATATATTATTTGATCCTATTTCCTCACTATAAAAATTTGTCTGTTTCACCTTTAAGGCCACACCATTCTCTGCGTGATGGTGTTTGTAGACCAGACATAGCTTCTTCCCATAACAAACAAGATTCTTTCTCAAGGTTTATTCATAACATGTTACTGTTAACCAAAGTGTCTGTAATCTGTTTTAACTCTGACTACGTTACATTGTTGTAAGTAAGGGGGAACACACGTTGCTCAGGCAGAACAGGGCTGAATGCTGTGCCATAAGGGCTGTATGATGAACTGTTCTCTGTTTGCAAAGATGTGATTAATAAAATGCAGACTGAGTGAAATTCATTGATCTCCGTTTATTTAACTAGGGTGAATAGTTAAATACTTTTCTCCTACTACACTGGTGACCCGGGGAAAGTTTATGGTTGTTTTTCACTCTTTATTTTTAAGTATGCTTTGTTTTGTTCTGTGTTGTTCTCTAGACTAACATAATTTTTTTTCATTCTCAGTTTTGCTGCCCCTTAGTGACCTTTGCTTTCCCCTTACCTCCTTCTAGTTACTTCTGTCTACACCTGCTCCTTATCAGCTAATTAGTCCTCCCATTGTTTCTGTCTCCCTACTGTATTAAAAATAAGTTTTTAAAATTAACAAAGGCCTAAATTGGATTGGATTGGATAAAATGAGTGCGTCTCCTCAGTGGGTGACATGACCTGGAAGCTATTGAAGAAATATAAATTATTGTAAATGACCCGTTTTCTAATTTAGCTACAAGACATATTACAATGTGAAATTATTATAAGCTATTATTTTTGCCTCCATTATTTTGTGAATTTATAATTCTTTACATTTTATGTTGTTTTAAGGGACTTTATTTTGAAACTACGTGACCAGGTTTTTTGTTAGTGGCTACCGCAATATACGTAGAAGAAGAGGCTGAGATCGAAACATAGTAAAAGAAGGAAAGATAGTTAAAATATTAAGCTTTATTTGAAGGACTTACACCCTCCGAAGTGGCACAAGGTTAGTGCTTATGTAATAAGACATGTTTAATGTGTGTTCATGTGTTTTGAAATGTGTGTAAAGAATTTTTTCGTGTTCGGTAAGATGCTAATTTTACGTAGTATCAGCCAGTAAGGTAATACATTTTTTCTTCTGTGCTCTGCCTAGCTCTTATGGTGGTTGGTTAAAAGGATTATTGTTGACAACGCTGAAATTCCAATAAACAAGAAAACCATAAGTCAAGTGTTGACCATCATTCGGGGGAGATGCTACAATTATTATAATAAAGAATGTTTAAAAATTAACAAAAAGGATGCTTAAAAAGGAATAAAAATGTGTGTGCCTCTTAAGGCTAATGTAGTAAAACAATTTCACAAACAATTTGAGTCAGCAGATCATATGACCTGGAAGCTATTGAAGAAAAGTCCCAAATTTTGTCTTTAAAAATTTCTTAAAAATGGCTTAAAATTGCATAAAAGCAAGTGTGCCTTACATATGTTACCTATTGGCATGATTTTATATTAGCTTGGTCTTAGCTGGTCATAAGATAAGGAATTTATTGATTTTTGTTTCTCAAAAGTGCTTGGTTCAAAGTTTTGTTGAGAATGTGGGAGGAGGGAGCAGCTGAGATCAGTTGGATCAACCGTTTGCTAGATCCCGCTGACCTCCCGGAGCTTGAATATCCAACTTCAAACCAACTTCACCGCGGTTGTTAGCGACCGGGTATAGAAAATGGGCCTCTTTCTCCAGATTCTGAAAAACTACATTGTCGACATCTGTGTCCATGTGTGCAGCTAAATGAAACACACAATCTGTCAGAGCGTCCAAACGAAAAAATAATAAATTCAATACTTATAAAGTTAGCATTGTTTTCAAAAACAGTTTCTAAATATCTTTGTTAGGATTCCAGTTTGTGTGGGTTGTTTTTTGTGTTTTCCTCTCTCCACCACCAGGTGGTGCCCTGTCCTCGTTGGGCCTCCATTCACACCTGTGGCTCGTTGGGTCATTGCCAGAGGAGTACTTGAGCAGTGGGCTGTCACCACCTCAAGGCCGGAGTGTTTGCCAGTATTGGGTACTCTTGCCTAACTGAGATTAGCAGAGTCTATCCTTAGCATTGTTTCTCTAAGTCTGAACTTGTTTTTTGTCTTTGTTCTTTGGCAGGAAGACTTCCTGTGTTACTGGATAAGCCTGGACCTTCTACCCCTGGAAGGATTTACTGAGTCACACTGAGCCAGGGTAAAACCTCCATGGGAATAGTTCAAGTCCACTCCTGGAAAACCAAGTGACAGTCCGCTCCTTTACTCCTCTGGGTCCAACTTATGTCTGCCTGTCCGCTCTCCAACGAGTTCTCTCTTCTCTGGATTAAACCCCCATAAACTGGATCCATGGATAAACCAAGGGCCCTCCAAAAGTGAGTGCCTCTCCAGCAATATTCAAGCCTCAGTCTATTTTCCCACAGTCGACAGGCAGAAATTCATAGCATGGAAGAAAAAAACAGGGTAAAAAAATCACAAAGGAAGAATAAACCAGACAAAAATACTATAACATGCACATAAATACTTAAAGAAATACTTAATAAATAAATAAAGTTGAAGATTATAACAGACAATAAATGAATAAGGTAATTACTACAAAGGCGAAAAAAGGAAAGGTAATTAAAAGAGATATATACATTTATATCTCACTGTATAATTTGATTTCTATCTACAATGATTTGTTTATTGTATTTTGGGGGGGCAGTCAATTGTATGCTTATTTATATTTGGACTGTTTATTTATTTATGTTTTTATTTTTAATTATTGCAGGATTGGTCCTCCCTATAGGTACGCCTGGGGCATCTATTTTTTAATCAAATAAATTTTCTTCTTTCACAGCACCGCTCTCAAAGCTCTGCTCTCACAGCAGAGTTGAGAGAGGAGAACTCTACATCAGCCTGAATAAGCCAGATCGACAGCTTTGCAAAAATTAACCCGAAAACAGTGGCGGCTGGCCAATAGAGGGCGTTAGGGCGTTGTCCCACACCCAATGATCCTGATTAAGACATACAACATTTTTTATCATTTAATTTTAAATTAAAATGTTAAATATTTCGAAATATATCTCTACATATTTTTTAGACGTGCAAGACAAATATTTAATCTTTTGTTAAAGAAAAATGATTATTTTTAGTTTTTAATACAGTTAATCTTATGGCATATGTAAAAGATATGTTGAACACTCTTAATTTTGAACAAGTTTGTGAAGATAACCTTTCCTTGAACCAAATTACTGAATTTAAGTTTGTTCCGGAGAATTTATGGCAGGAAGAGGCCCCGCATTCCAACAGCTATTCTGTGAGGTCTTATCTCATGTTTTCTTTAGCCAGAAGACCTTAGAATTCCTGGACCCCAGATGTTTGCCGTAAATTAGGGGAAGCGCTAAGTTTTTCTGAGTGCCAGAGACAGCTCCTGGTTGGGGGAGCAAAAGCCAGCCTTATTTGAATAAATTAAATACAAAAGGTTAAAACTTTCTACACAGAAGTAAAAAATCAGATTTGCTCTTGCAACTCTCCAAAGATGTCTTTGTACGTCTTTGCTTTCTTTCCTTCTCTCCATTTATGTCAGGTAATTGAATGTATGTCTCCGTTGTTCTGCAGTTTCTGGTGTAAGTTTGTGCATTGTCTTATTTCTAAGTTTATGCATTGTCTTATATTGGATTAAACTCTGTAATTCTGTGACGTCAACACGCATTGCTGGTTTTCCTTGTGGCCACACGCAGCTCGCCGAGAGGATCTGGGAAAGGAAGAGAGAAAGCCAACCTTTTTCCAAAGTTACCTATTTTAGAATATTTTCTTCCTTAACACTTTAATGACTAGTTAGTTAAGCATCATTCTATTTTTCTTCGGATCGGTGACGTCTTTCGACCCCAGGGCGCAAAAGTTTTTGCCCATATACTGAAGCAGCTCTTCTGCAATACAAAGGTATAGGAGAGCTTGTGGCACAGCTCTGGTGCGCCTCCAGCGCAGGAAGTGTTTTTGCTCAACACCTCCCACCACAGTGCAGACTGTTTGAGAAAGAGAGAAATGGCGCAAGAAACTTCCTTTTCTAAGACCTGTTTAGCTACAAGGCTTGGCTAACTGAATGTAGCTTTATTCTGCTTTCCCTGCCTCCTTTTTCATGGATAAAGACATGTAGGACTGATTTAAAGCATGTAGAAAAGGCAAAGAAGAATGAACAATCTGGGATTCACATGGAAAATAATGTAATATAGTGTACTTTTTTTTTAGATGTTTGGTAATTTGCATAGTTGCTCATAAATAAACACATTTTCAGAAAATAAATTGTTTTTAGATATAAAAAAATGATGATATAGCTTTTCCATTATTAAACTTGTACATTATTTTTTTTTTTTCGGTTTGTGGCATCATATTGGATCATGCAAAACACAGATTTACCTTCACAAAGCATCAGAAGGGCAGGATTTATGTACAAAATGTAAAGCTGTTCATGAAATGATGTTTTGTTTTATAATGTAATTTGTTGTTGGTATTCATATAAATATACTGGAAGATAACTTAGTATAGGTTTGATTGATTATTGGTATACGTCTATTGAATTTATAGCCCTCCCTGGAGAAAACTTAAAAAAAATTAACATCCAGCTCTCTCATCTTACTGGCCATGATATACACACCTAGGAGGGTCCGAAATAGAAATGATTAACACAGACATGTATGTATGTCAAGGTGTTTTTTGTTTTTTTTTCTTTTACAGTTTCACATTTCAACTTTTCAGTTTCCAAGTTCAGGTTTGCTCACAGATATTTAATGAAGATAATTTGTGCCTTCACCAGTAGTTGATTAGAGATATACAGTTAAGTTCACAAGAGGGCCAATTCAATTCAGTTTGGTTCAGGTAGATATTTAATGATGCAGAAAATAACAATCTGATTGCTCAATTTATTTATGATGCTTAATAATAAAAAAATAAGTGCTATAAAGTATTTGCTCAAAATATTTGCTTGCATTAATTATAATTAAAATAAATAATTGCCCAAAAAAATGTTTTTGGTGCCCTATTGTATCCCTGTATAGTATTGGGCCAGCTGACGCCCCTGGCTAAAACAAGATCGCTGTCACCACACATTGAACAGGTCAGGAGAGCAATAGATTATGATCATTTTGTGTGTGTTTTATATTCATCAGACATCCATCTTTCAACTTTAACTGTTGGCAAGTTTTACTTCAGATGAACATTAAATGAGACCTTTAAACAATCTATAGTTTGATTGTCTCATTTAATCTTCATCAAAGTAAGATAAACAATCTAGGTCAGAAAAACCAGGGTCCACTGGTTATTCTAATAACTTCATAGTTTTCTCACCTTTGCTCTGATGCTGTTGGTGCTGTGATAAGTCAGGAGGGTGTCTGTGGTCATGAGATCTGCTGGATGAGGAAATGATAGTGGACGATTTTAGAACAGCATCATTAACAGGATGATAACAGAAAGGAGCTAATGAGTGGTACATGCAAAAGTAAAAAAGATAAGGAACAATAGGGCAAAAATTACACCAATATTATGTTTTATTTTTTAGCATCGGCTGCTCATTTTTAAACCAATCAAAGATTTACATTTTTCACACTTTGATCAGACTGAGTCATGCTGGCTGTTGAGTCTTCAAGTAGTTTTAGATGTTTGTGGTTTAGTAGATGTTAGTGGTCTTGTTTTTTGTTTTTATTTTTTTTACCTGTAGTCTTGGCAACATCTTGTCTCTCTGTGAGCATCTTTTTGTCTGATGGAGGTGATGTGGTCAGATCTGGAGCTGAAGATAAACAAGGAACATTTTTAACCTCAGTGAATCATCTTGCCCCAGTTTCAACTAAAAACCCTCTTTTCACATGCTGTTCATGTAAACAGATTTCATATTTTTAGTGAACAACCCCAGAGTTAATAAAATAAATGAACTTCTGGTTCCCAGAGAGTTGTTCACTATAAACGTGGGAGGTATTTCTTTGTGGTTAAAGATCTAAATTATAACTCTGCACACCTTATATTATTTTCCATATTTTTTGACTGATACATGCATCATTTTCTACTTACTTGGTACCTCTTGACAGAATGAAAGCCACTCTAATCTGGATCTGCCTGTGCTATCAATACTTATTTAATCACATTCTGGATCCATTACATGTAAGGAAACCCTCTAACCTGAGGAAAGAGTAAAAATCCTACAATTAAAATAGTTGGAGTATCATTTACTTAGAAAAAGTAACTCTTCCCACATATTATAGAACTCAAGGAAAACATGTGCAAAGTACAGCAGGCAGCGTATCATATATCAATTGAGAAATCATAGGAGTAAAACATTTGTAGTAAAGGTAATATTGTCAAACTGAAAGTGGTAAATTGCTTATTTATAACCCACAAAAAAAGAAAAATATTTTGGATTGTTAAACCTGTTTCTGTTAAGTATAACCTAATGCATCAAGAATAGAATTCAACGTTACTGTCATTACAGTGTCACAAGTACAAAGCAACAAAATTCACTCTCTGCATGTGACCCATCCCCTTGGGGAGCAGTGGGCTGCCACTGTGCGACGCCCGGGGAGCAGTGTGGGGTTAGGGGTCTTTGCTCAGAGAGCCAGAGTGGCAGTCCCTTAGAGTAAGGCTTGATGTAAGAACCTCTGGTATCACAGATCTATGCCCTAACCACTAGGCCACCCCCCCCCATGAAAATTTATAGTTTAAGCTTTCGACAAAAGTTTTAAAATGCCTCTTTGATGCCACTGCTATGTGCTTTCCCTGTGTTTTTCTTACTTTTGTCTTGTTACTGAAAAGAGCTATAAAGATAAATCTGCCTTGCTCACATTAAAACATTTGAAAATTGATTTGTGCAGTTTACGCCAATGTTTTTAGCAAACTATCTTTGGAAAATAAAAATTGTTATAAATATCTATATTTTCTAACCTTTTTCAACAAACAACACAAAGTGATGTTTCTGATAATTGTTCCACCCAGGTATCTCCACTCTGCATCCATAAAGTCCAGCATCTTCCTCAGTGAGGTTCAGGATCGTCAGAGAAACGTCTCCTTCATCCAGTCGTCCCAGTAGCTGATACCTGCTGGAAACTCTGGTTTCCTTTATAACTTTATATCCATCTGTAGATATCAGCTTATTGTTGCAGCGTCCCCAATTCGGTATCTGTCCTTTATTCCAGCAAGCATGCGACGCTCCTTCCTTTTTGATATCATATCTACAGTTCAGAGTCACATTCTGACCTGTTTGACCAACAACTCTGATGCTTTCACATCCTGACACTGAAAAACAAAAAATAAAGAGTTTAGTTTCACAGATGTCAGATCTAGAAACTAAAATCTGAATATTATATCTGTTATGTATCAGTTATCTGCCACTCTATAAAAATCATCTTAGGCTCATTTATACATTCTTAAAAAAGACGGTTAATCATACTTAGTTACCTGTTTGATGTTATTTTACAGTCACTGTTATGGTGATAATTGACCTCAGTAACAAATAAAGTCTCAAGTAAAAGATAAATACATCAAACTGAAGCATCTCAGTCTGATTGGTAGAGCTTCTCTGCTCATGTCAGATATTATTATACTGATTCAGCTGCATTAGTTCTATTAAAAGGTTTCATGATTCAGATTTTACAGACAGATAGCATTACTTTATTGGAAACTACATATAAATAAAATGAGGGAACCACAAACATAAAAAAATCTGAAGAAACACATACGTCTAACTCTTACGTCTAAATACCCCTAACTGGCAGCAGAGTCTATGAAGGTTATGTTAATGAGCCAATTATTGTGCATTTTTGCTTAAAAAATAACAGAACATAAAAGTACCTGTGAGGAGCACGAGCAGCAGCAGGACCTTCATGATGAACCAACCATCATCACCCAGCAACATGTTTGTATTCACAGCTGCTGAAACTCTGACCGTCACCACAGCTGCAAACTCACTGCATTAAGAAAGGCGTTCACCAGAGCTACAGCCTGAGAGGAAGCACCAAACTGAGGACATAAAGAGGAAGCCTTCAACAGCGAGTCTGTCAGAGAGTCTGTTGCTGTTAAAACCACAGATAATGTTTCTCATTCTTCACATCCTTTAATAAAACCCTGAGGACAGAATCAGGTGGTCTTCTTAGTTTCTGCATTTCTCTACAGTTAGCAGTTTTATCATCAACTTTGATCTTTTAATGAAATGCTGAAGATTATCATAAACACAACTTCTAAAATTTGTCCACAATTTGAAGATATTGATGAAAATGTATTTAATATAGACAGTTTTTTTCTTCTTTATGGGAATCACAAGTAGTTGTTCAGGACCGGTTTTCCTTGTTTCTTTTTTAGATAAAGTAAATTAATAGATATATCCTTATTGCATCTGTGAAACAGCATTTTTGGAGCCTTAAAAAGTTAAAAACAGAGTTCACATTAAAGTATGTAATAAAGCAGCTTTATTCAGAAAAGAACACTGAAGTTGCAACACATCAGACTTCATAAATTGGTGATCTGCTTGGAAGAAGGTTCAGCTACATAATTAGGTCAGAGTGCCAAAGCCTCTGTTTCTGTGGGTTCATGGGTTGTTGGAACCTGTCAGGATCTTCTTTTCTGATGCTTCCTGTATCTGATCTTTACAACGTTTTAAATATTTTTATTGATGTTAAAGCAGAACCCTTTTCTGCAACAAACACCTGCTGGGTGGACTGGTGTAAAAAGACAAATATGGAGACCACAGAAAAAATATCTGTGGTTATTATTTCCTTTTCTGCTGCAGGTATAGCATCAAGCAAATTCTGCAGCAAAGAAAACCGAAAGCCATCATGAAGTGATCCAGGGGTGCAGCTTTTTTTATTGATAGATTATTCTGATTATCAACTAAAATAAAGTGTTTGCTATTTGATTACAGTTTATTGAACTGATTAAGCTTATTCTATGAGTAATAGACAAATATTCAAAAGGTTAGAATCTAATGAAGAGCTAGAAGTGATGTGGAGTATAAACCTCTGTGTCCACCTGAAAAAAGGACTAGAGAACAACTGTGGAGCCTTCTAGAAGGACAGAGCAGACTGTACGTCTTTACAAAGCCTGGTTCTTTTGTGTTTGTAGCAGTATGCTGCATATCTTCTATAAGTCTGCAATCATCTGATGGGGTAACAACATCAGAGCGAAGGACTGAAAGAAGCTCAACAAGCTGATGGAGAGAATGTTATCTTTATCCAACTTCTTGAGAAAACTAAATAACATTATGAACAACTCTAGATGTTTGTTGAACAACAACAGAGAGTCTTCAGTCAAAGGCTTTTCAACATCTGCTGCAAGACAGAACGCAACAGAAGATCCTTCCTGTCTGCAGCTACCAACATCTACGCAACTGCTTGATAAAAACAACATGAGTTATAACAATTCATTTCCCTTAAGGATCAATAAAGCATCTTTGAATTGCTTAATTGATGTGGAAATACATTGATCAGTCTCTGTCTCAACAGTGCTGTACCCAGTACCCCATACTACAGCCTATTGTGGCATCTCTGGTTTTTCTTTTTAAGTTGCCACTGCAGTTTCACATTATTTAGATTAGTGCACACAGCTTTTATTCTTTAACTTGCTCTAAGAAAAATACAATTTAAACCAAAGCCTTAGTTTTACCATATTTTGTCTGTGATGAAGATATATTGGTGTTTAATTTTAAAAAGCACAAAGAAGCTACAGTTAAACATAAAGAGGAATTCTGCAACTGTTATATTTAACATTGATCCATCTATATGCTATCATCTCTTGATCAAAAAATAAACTGCACATATTTCAACAACCCGGCATAGACCTCTTTTAACCATAGGTTTAATTTTTCTAGTTAAGATGTTAAAATATGCAATAATGTACAAAGACATACTGAGAATCACAAAAAATGTCAAACTATGAAAAAAAGCGGCACTGAAGAAAAACTTCAGAAAATATATTAATTTCCTCTATATATTAATTATTTTTTGCTGGCTGCAGTGAGAGGGGAGGTTTAAATATAAATAAAGCTGGAAATGAAGAAACTAGTTCAGCAGGATCAGGGATTACAGTCTAATTATTATCCTTCTGTGATCTGTGAAGATTAATTGTAACTGTCAAGTGATTTGATCTTTGCTGTGCTATTCCAACACTTGAAGGGTTGTATTAAGCTGAACATTAAACTGGATTCCACTAAATGACCAAACTGTTGTTTCATCTTTTCCTTTTTTATTTTTCTTCTTGTGTTGTTTACAGATAATCAATTAATTAAGCAGGTGAAAAACCTTTAAAAGAAATGAAACCAAACAAAGCATTTACCATATTGCACATTGTAATAGTTCTGAGAAATGCATCATTAAATATATTTATGAAAATAGACTATGTTTTTAACTTTAAATTAAGACCATTTAGGTTTTAATTATCATAAGAAAATGCATCAAAAAACGTATTAAATCATTTTAACGGAAGCGGATTTATGCAGATTATTTAACCCCATAGATTACATGAATTCTTAGATAGCAATAATAATTAACCAGTGAGTGATTTTTATTTTGTTTTACATATGCATAACGTAGCCTATGAAATTTAATTTTAACTGTGGAATACTATAAAAGTCCATTTAATCACACACAGAAGAAAGATGCAAAAATTACCCCGTGCAACAGTTTCACAAACACATTAAATTGGACCGTTTCAACCGCACCGTTAAACAAATCACTGAAAACAAGTTACACCAGCATTTCTCCGACTAAATAAAGCAAGCTTCAAGAAGCCTTACAAGCCAACATTTTCATGATGCACCGTGTGAGTATTTATAAGCTTAACACTACAAACATTTCCCGCACGTGCCTCATCAGCGCTGCACATACATACTTTGTCACCTCATGCTCTGCAAAAAAAAAAAAAAAGAGAGAGAGATATTAGTTTAGAACTAAAAATAAATGAATGCTTAATATTCAATGAAATATATATATTTATACTGTTGAAAATGTTCAAGACGATAAAACATTTAAAAACTACATCAGAGACATAATTCCAAGGAAAACGCTGGTTTACTTTAACAATTAAGCTATATTTTGATAAACCAATCAGATATTATTTATTCTCCCCTAAAAATCTTTCTTTAAGTTAATATTGAAATAAATAAAGGAATTTATTACACTTTAATTGTTTTAGTCCTCTACTTTCAGACATTACTGCTCTCTAAGCTACAGACAAACCACCATCAGGTCCTGTTGTTCACTGAGGGAGTGACACAATACTGCCCTCTGCAGCCAACTTAGAGAACTGCGTGTGACTTAAACAGCACCACTGATAAATATTGAGAAAAGCAGCAATGTTTTTGGTTTATTTAAACGTTGCTTCAATGCATCAAATTTGAGCATCAACCTATTTTCTGATTGACAGTGCCCACTGTGTTGCAGAGCTAAAAGCATCATTAATGCTGATGTAAACCAGGACTATGCAGTGATATATTTATGAATGTTAGGGAAAAGAGGTAACACTGAAGTAGCTCTTGCTCAAATTGCTGAAACAAAGTGACTCTTTCATCACCAGCTTTCCAAAACTGCCTGAAGCACTGAAAGGTTTATTAGGCAGCTCGGGAATCTGCTCTAACTTAAAAAACATAATGTACAACAAAGAAAACACAATGGAATAAGCATTATTTAAATTAGGTTAGTTGCCTAAACACTCCTTACTGTACTTTTCATGTTCAACAGGACCAATGGAGAGGGAGACATGGGGAATACTTCGAGTCTAGCAGCTGGGGTGAGTTCTTATTGGGGAAGTGTAAGGAGCTGCAGTTTTAATAGTCTTCTTCAGGAAGTGGGGAAAATTGTTTCAATGATATAATCAGAGACCGACCCATCTCTAATCAGAGAATCTATGATCAGATATTCACCTGGGGTACAGCCTCATATGCAGGCAGTAGACCGGACATCACTTTGGATCCAAGATTTCTTTTGGAAGATGCAGTCTTTCCCTCAGTGGGTTATATGATGCTCACATGTATCTTCTCACCAGTGCAACAGTTGCAGAGCACGAGGGGGAAATAAAGCTGCTTTGTTTGTATACCCAGGCTCGGGCTGGTAATCTCTGATACAGCGCATTTGCCCGGTTGGCCGGTCCTAATTTCAGGCTGCAAGAGCCGGTCCTCCTTAAATCCTAAGGCCACAAAGCTTACTCTCTAGCTGAAGCACCTACTTCTGACAATAAATAACTGAAGGAGCTCAAGAAGTAAAACAATATTAACTACCTAAATGATGCATGCAGTATATATCCCTTCCTTGTCATGCACATCCTTGTGACAGTTGGCATATGGTGTAGTTTTTCAATTTCTTTAAACTGTAAAATCCTTGCAACAAACTAAATTTTAATTAAGATAAAATGCTTTCTTTAAACTTGCAAAAAGTCCTGCGATCAAGACAGCATCAAGGTAGGCCATTTAGTTTTTGATTTTGCTCACTGCAACATGTTGACTTGGGCTCACAGGTTTGCTTAAGTAGGTTGGCTGAAGTAGGTGTGGCTCATTTGCACTAAAAGGTGGGGTTCATTGTGCCTTCATATTTTGCTTTTTTCTTGATGGAGAGAGTGAAATATCACTGTAAAAGGTATTTCAAAGCAAGATAGAAGAGTCGTGTGATGCTTGTAACCTAGTGTGAAGGCTTTGGAAGGCATTCAATTGACTATGACGGCTCTGTGTCAAAGTGTACAATTCACCACTTCACCACTATTAATCTTAATAGTAGTAGTATCAGTAGGACTGCTGGTTTCGTTGACTGATGGAACCATGGTGTTTACATTATTCCATCTCATTGCCCAAATGCCACCTAGACTTGCAGTGGATACTTACACACTGCTGAGCTTTCATGTATTCATTATTGAAGACCTGCCTTTCTGCCTCTATATTGTAATGATTTATGTTGGTGTTTTTACAACACTCCGGCTTACGTTGTAGACCTAATATGTGTGAGTGGGTGTCTGGGTGGCTTCCTGCAAGAGTGGTCGTGCCCTTGATAATAACCAAAGCCAGTGAAAAGGTTAGATTATAGAAGACTTGGTGATTGCTGTCGATTGATGCTTGAAGATAGATCGATGGAAAAATGCCAGGGCCGAAAATCATTCCCAGTCCGAGCCTGTTTATACCTCTATGATATCACAGAGGATCCATTGTGGTGTAGAGCTCCCTCCTTTCTAGAAGCTGAGCATGATGATATTATGATGAGATTTTTAGTTGTGTCTATCATCTTTGGCGTTTGATTAAATAAATGATTTAAATTAAAGAACACAATCTACTGAGGAACAGCTCAGAAACAGGGAGATGATGATGGATATAAATACTAATGAGATGAGGAAAATCAGAGCGAAATTTTCAAACAAGAATGTAAAAACATCACACAGAGTAGATGACACCACAACATGATAAAATCAATAATGTTAGATATTACCTGAGGTTATTCAGTGTTACTAAAATTTATGTTGGATAGAAAAACAATTTGTATAGAGTCTCTGTTTTCTTTAAAAGTTTGTGGGGGAAAATAAGTTAGGAAGGAAATTTAACCAACATGTATAGTGTCCAGGAACAGAAACTGTGATAAAATCATGAATTACAGTAGTGAACCACCAATTTATAAACATCTCAAACTGATTGGAGGATTTGTTTTCAGACAGATGAAGAAACTCTAAGACACTCACACTTTAAGTTGCCTCAATCTTGTTGCTGCAAAGAAATAAAATACATCAGAAACTACATTAAAAAAAATAAATAAAAAAAAATGCTTCATTCATCATCAGGTAAGAAAGTACACTGGATGTCAGCTGAATAATCTTACCCCAAATTAAATGGATCAAATTTATGTATAAAACACAAATATGAACACTAAATCTATAAATATTTATCAGCAAATAAATCCAAATGAGGATCCAAAAGTCTGTAGAATCACCTTTGCCAGAAAGAAGATCTCAGTAGCTGTTTTCATCTGATGGCCAAATGGTTTCACATTAGACTCTAGAACATGTTGATAAACAGCGGTGGTCATGGTCGACTCAATGACTGGAAAAGGCTCAGGTCCTGTAAATGGAGAACAACCCCATATCATCAATCATCCACCTCCATACTTCACAGTTGATGTCTTGTCATTGTGTGGATTTGGAGGTTTGGGTTTCTTTAAACCTGGTTCTGTCTAGCTAAATTATTAACCCTGAAGACTTTTAACAAGTGTTGTATTTGGGGACACAGATAAACTCCAACAAAAATACAAAAAGCAAAGCATTGGAAAGGCTGGATGATGACAAAAAACCATCTTAAGAGATAATTCAATAAGAAAATGCAATCATATTGGTTTAAAGTCTCTAAAGGACACCAGCTGATTTCTTTTGTCATCACCTCATTCATCAAATTGATAATTTCCAACAGCCTCTGAACAAACATTTTGGCTGCTGCTAAATCAGTCAGAGCAAACTCACCATAAATGAAGAATCCGGCTGCAGTGACCAGAGCCACTACGAAGAACAGAACACACGCCTGTGACTCCGACAGCATGCTGCCTACGTCCTGAAGCCACAAACAGAAACAGAAATTGTTGATCAACTCAGTTGATGGTCATCCATTTCAAAATTCTTTGAAGAAGGCTTTGACATGTTCATTGTGTTTTATATTAATCAGACATCCATCTTTGAACTTTAACTCTTTGCAAGTTTTACTTCAGATGAATGTTATATGAGACCTTTAAACAATCTATAGTTTGAATATCTTATTTAATGTTCATCTAAGTAAGATAAACAATCAAGGTCAGATAAACCAGGGTCCACTGGTTATTCTAATAACTTCATAGTTTTCTCACCTTAGCTCTGATGCTGTTGGTGCTGTGATAAGTCAGGAGGTTGTCTGTGGTCATGAGATCTGCTGGATGAGGAAATGAGAGTGGACGATTTTAGAACAGCTTCGTCAACAGGGTGAAAACAGAAAGGAGCTAATGAGTGGTACATGCAAAAAAAAATATTATGTTTTCTTCCCAGCATCAGCTTCTCCTTAAAAAAACAGTAAACGATTTACATTTTTCACACTTTCATCAGGCTAAGTCATGCTGGCTGTTGAGTCTTCAAGTAGTTTTAGAGGTTTGTGGTTTAGTAGATGTTGGTGGTCTTCACTGATTTCTGTTTTTGTGTTTTTTACCTGTAGTCTTGGCAACATCTTGTCTCTCTGTGAGCATCTTTGTGTCTGATTGAGGTGATGTGGTCAGATCTGGAGCTGAAGATACACAAGGAACATTTTTAACCTTGTTATGAAAATTATGATTGATCATTGAATCATCTTGCCCCAGTTTCAACTAAAAACTCTCTTTCCAAATGCTAATCATGTGAACAGTTTTCATATTTCACTGAACAACCCCAAAGTTCATAAAATAAGTTAATTGTGGTTCTCAGAGAGCTGTTGACTTTCTGTTAAGTATAATCTAATGCATCAAGAATAGAATTCAAATTTATTGTCTATACATTTTCACAAGTACAAAGCAACAAAATGCACTCCCTGCATGTGACCCATCTCCTTGGGGAGCAGTGGGCGGCCAATGGGCGGCGCCCGGGGAGCAGTGTGGGGTTCAGGGTCTTGCTCAGGGGAGCCAGAGTGCCATTCCATGGAAGTAACCACTAGGCCACCAACCCTCCTATGAAAAATTATAGTTTAGGTTTGCAGCACGTTTTCCTAATAAACCTCTTTGATGCCACTGCTATGTACTTTCCTCTGTGTTTTTCTTACTTTTGTCTTGTTACCAAAATGAACTATAAAAATAAATCTGCCTTGCTCACATTAAAGCATTATAATATTCATCAGCTCTATGCCACCAACCCTCCTATGAAAAATTATAGTTTAAGTTTGAGGCACAGGTTTTCTTGAAATGCCTCTTTGATGCCACTGCTATGTTCTTTTCCTGTGTGTTTCTTACTTCAGTCTTATTACCAATATTAGCTATGCAAATAAATCTGCCTTGGTCACATTACAACATTAGAATATTAATTTTGATAGTTTATGACAGTGTTCTTAGCACACTATCTTTGGAAAATATTTTTTTAAATATATATCTGTATTTTCTCACCTTTTTCAACACACAACACAAAGTGATGTTTCTGATCACTGAACCACCCAGGTATCACCACTCTGCATCCATAAACTCCAGAATCTTCCTCAGTGAGGTTCAGGATCATCAGAGAAACGTCTCCTTTATTCCAGCAAGCATATGTCGCTCCTATCTTAATGATATCATATCTACAGTTCAGAGTCACATTCTGACCTGTTTGACCAACAACTCTGATGCTTTCACATCCTAACACTGAAAAACAAAAATTAAATAGTTTAGTTTCACAAATGTCTGTTCTAGAATCTAAAATCTGAATATGATATCTGTTATGTATCAATTATCTGCCACTCTATAAAACAATCTTTGGCACATTTATGCATTGTTATAAAAGAAGTTTAATTATAGTTACACTGTTTGATGTAATTTACAGTCACTGCATGTTGATGATTGACTTCAGCATTTTCAAGTAAAAGCTTTTAAACTCTGGTCAGATATTTATGTCCTACTTCAGCTGCTTTAGTTCTATTAACATTTTTCATGATTCAGATCTTACAGACAGAGAGCATAACTTTATTAGAAAATACATATAAGTAAAATGAGGGAACCACAAACAAAAAAAAAAAACCTGTAGAAACACTTAAAGCTGTAATATACCTCTAACTGGCACCAGAGTATATAAAAGTTATGGTAATGAGCCAATTATTGTTTATTTTAGCTTAACAAATAACAGAACATAAAAGTACCTGTGAGGAGCACGAGAAGCAGCAAGACCTTCATGATGAACCAACCTTCATCACCCAGCAACATGTTTTTATTCACAGCTGCTGAAACTCTGACCGTCACCACAGCTGCAAACTCACTGCATTAAGAAAGGCGTTCACCAGAGCTACAGCTGAGAGGAAGCACCAAACTGAGGAAATAAAGAGGAAGCCTTCAACAGCGAGTCTGTCAGAGAGTCTATTGCTGTTAAAACCACAGATAATGTTTCATATTCTTCACATCCTTTAATAAAACCCTGAGGACAGAATCAGGTGGTCTTCTTAGTTTCTGTATTTCTCTACAGTTAGCAGTTTTATTATCAGCTTTAATCTTTCAATGAAATGCTGAAGATTATCATAGATTCTAAAATTTGGTGCAATTTGAAAATATTGATGAAAATTTTACTAATATAGACTAGGGCTGGGCGATATAGAAAAAAAGCTTATCGATAAAAAAAAATGCATATTGATCGATATCGATAATTATTGAAAAGATTTGAAACCATATTTTATGTGCAGCTCTGCCTGGACTTTTTTATAATATTGCTAAATGATTTAATTTTAATAAAAAACACAAACACAGACTTCGAATTAAATCTTTATTTAACCAATTTTTTTAACCATAACAGAATTGTTTTAAAGAAAAATAACTTAAGAGACCTGGGTTATGTTATTAAATATTGACAAAGAATAAACTAAAGTGACCAAAATGAATATAACAAATAAATAAATCCCCCCCACCGCCGCCGCCCCCGTTTCCTGCTTTAACCTGAGTTATTACTTTGAAGTTTCTGGCCCCTCAGCATTTTTCTCTCAATTGTTGGGAAACTGCCCAGAACTGAAAATATATATATATTTTCCCGAAATTCCCAAAGATTCCTTGGAGGAGAGCCGCGTCGGGGCCTACACAGCTCGTACTCCTGCGGGTGTGAGCGGCTGAGATGATAAAAAAAAAAAAAGTTGGTTGTGTTATCAGACTTCGTTTTCACTGGTTCCCGAGACATTTTACAGATGACTGGTTTGTTTTTTGTCCGACTTGCCATGACCGAAATACTGCCAAACTGGCGAACTACAAAAACCCTTCTTTGAAACAATTTCCTCCGACTCTCGTGTTCTGTGTTGTGGTTTGAGAGGGCGGCGCTTGGTGACGGTGTGCCTGGGTCCGCGATTGTGATTGGTTGGGAGGAAGCAGTGACTAGCATAAACCTACATGCTAGGCTACAATGAGAAGGAAGGAAAACTGCGGTTCTTTTTTATCGAACTTTTATCGACCCTCTTTTTTTCTATTGCGCCACACGTCTATCGATCGATATATATCGTTATTGAATTATTGCCCAGCCCTAATATAGACCCTTTTTTTTCTTTATGAGAATCACAAGCAGTTGTTGGTTATTAGATCAGGAAAAGTATTGTTTCAGGAACAGTTTTCCTTGTTTCTTTTTTAGATCAAGTAAATTAATAGATGTATCCATATCATATCTATGAAACAGCTGATGAATATTATAATGTTTTAATGTGAGCAAGGCATATCTCATTTTGGTAAAAAGACAAAAGTAAGAAAAACACAGAGGAAAGTACATAGCAGTGGCATCAAAGAGGTTTATTAGGAAAACTTGTGCTGCAAACCTAAACTATAATTTTTCATAGGAGGGTTGGTGGCCTAGTGGTTAGGGCATAGAGCTTGGATCGTAGAGGTTTTGGCATCAGGCCCCACTCCCACAGACTGCCACCCTGGCTCCCTCAGCAAGACCCTGAACCCCACACTGCTCCCTGTGCGCCGCACAGTGGCAGCCCACTACTCCCCAAGGGGATGGGTCACACGCAGGGAGTGCATTTCATTGCTTTGTACTTGTGAAAATGTATAGACAATAAATTTGAATTCTATTCTTGATGCATTGGGTTACACTTTACAGAAACAGGTTTAACAATGCAAAAGGTATTTCTTTTTTTTTTTCTCTAATCTGGAACTGCCTGTGCTATCAATACTTTATTTATTTAATGTCATGTTTGGCTTAAGGTGCCTAACCCACATGCAGAACACTCAGAGGCAAGAGAAAAGTTCAAACGTTTATTGAAATGTTTGAACACAATAAATTAACAGATCCAAAGGGGAACTCGTCTGGTCACGAGTGGGTTCTGAAAAGCACACAGAATTATCAGATCCAGAACTGGTCACGAGTGGGTTCACTGCAGAGGGGGACAGAGGAGTTAGTGGAGGTCCGGGTAATTTGCAGGTTGAGATTGAACAAGGCTGTACCTGTTCTGGAGTTGAGCTGAGCGGCAGAGGGGGGGAACCTAGAGGGTCCAGGGGCTGTCGGCAGGCTGAGGGCTAGGCAGAGGCAGAGCTTAATTTGAGTGTTGGCAGATAACAGATCTGAGTTTCCTTCCAGAATCTTCTGAGAGCGGGCAGGCAGAACTTTGACAGGAATAGTTCTCCAGGGTTCTTCAGAGAACGGACTGGCAAATAACTGGCAGAGAAACTCTTCAGGGTTTCCAGGTTTCAGGCAGGTTCAATCTAGGAAGCAGAGAAGAGAGAACAGATCAGGTTCGGGTTCAGGTTATCAGGGAGTCAGAGGTTCAGACAGGCTGGTTGGCTCAGGCTTGCTAACCGTTACTGGCAAACACTCTGGCGCTGGAGAGAAGTCCTCTGCCTCCTTAAATACGGATCTCCTGATGAGCAGATGAGCGACAGGTGGTGCAATCAGCTCCGGCTCCAGGAGTTCTTGTACGCCCTCTGGTGGAGAAAGTGGACAGACCTCCAGATCCCAACAGTAAACCCCCCCCCCCCCCCCCCCCCCTCAATGATTGCCTCCTGGCGGTCCAAACGAAGTAGATGGCAGAGACTCACGGTATTCTTTGATCAGGGCAGGGTCGAGAATGAAGGATCCAGGAACCCAAGTGCGATCCTCTGGACTGTAGCCCTCCCAGTCGACCAGGTACTGCCAGCCGCGGCCTCGGCGACGGGAGTCTACGATCCGGCGGACGGTGAAAGCAGGGTGACCATCAATGTCCCGGGCGGGTGGAGGGGAGTCGGACGGAGGGCACAAAGGGCTGGTCAGGACAGGTTTAATCTGAGAGACGTGGAATGTTGGATGGATCCGGAGTGAGGATGGCAGATGCAGGCGGACGGCAGACGGGTTGATGACTGACTCGATTTTGTACGGACCGATGAACCGTGGAGAGAGTTTACGGGACATGGATTTGAGAGGGATGTCATGTGTGGAGAGCCAAACCTGTTGTCCGGGTGTATAGGTGGGAGCAGGACGCCGTTTGCGGTCAGCATATTTTTTTATTTTGGGCAGATGTCCGGTTCAGAGCGGCAATGGTGTCTTTCCAGATCTTATGACAACGGCAGATGTGGTGCTGAACAGATGGAACGGAAATTTCCTTTTCATCGGCGGGGAACAAGGGTGGCTGATAACCTAGGAAGATTTCAAAAGAGGACAGACCGGTTGCAGAAGATGTGTGAGAGTTGTGTGCGTACTCTACCCAGTGAAAGTATTGGCTCCAGTAGATCGGATTGGTTGAAGTGAAGCATCATAGGGTTGATTCTAGTTCCTGATTTAGATGTTCTGTTTGACCGTTGGATTGTGGATGATAACTTGATGTTAGAGAGAAGTTAGTGTCAAGAGCAGAACAGAAGTGTTTCCAGACCTGTGCGGTGAATTGAGGCCCTCTGTCCAACAAAATTTCCTGGGGGACACCATGGAGCTTGAAAACATGTTTGACGAGAAGTTGCGCTGTTTGGAAGGCAGTCGGGAGTTTCCTGAGGGGAACAAGATGGCAGGCTTTTGAGAATCGGTCTATTATAGTGAGGATGGTGGTCATACCTCTAGATGCGGGCAAACCGGTCACAAAATCCACAGCGATATGGGACCAGGGGCGAGATGGAACAGATAGCGGGTGGAGAAGACCAGAGGGAGGTTGGTGTGAAGGTTTATTTCGAGCGCAGATGGGACAGGCTAGGACATACTCCTTCGTATCCTTGTGAAGGGATGGCCACCAGAAACGGCGAGAGATCAGGACAATGGTTCTGCTTACACCGGGATGAGCTAAAAATTTAAATGAATGCATCCAGTGGATGAAACGGGACCTGACAGAAGAAGGAACATAGGTTTTGTTGGGTGGACCGTTACCTGGGTCGGGTTCAGAAGCTTGGGCCAGTTTTATTAGATCAGAAATTTCCCAGGAGACGGTAGCCACCGTGCAGCTGGCAGGGAGAATAGAGTCCAGAGTTTCAGGTTTGTCTGGAGAATACAGGTGTGAAAGAGTTGTGTTTGATGTTCTTGGAGCCAGGCCGGTAGGAGATAATCAGGTTGAATCATGAGAAGAATAATGACCAACGGGACTGACGGGGATTGAATCTCTTAGCAGATTGAATGTATGATAGGTTTTTGTGATCTGTCCATACCAGAACGGGATGCTCTGCACCCTCCAGCCAATGCCGCCACTCTTCCAGAGCCAGTTTGATTGCTAGGAGTTCTCTGTCTCCGA